AAAGAACACCAGAACTGGCTCTGAAGTGGCCCAGATTTTGCATAGCTGGGGCCCGCCTGACCTCACCTCCGTCTGCAGGGGGCGGGAGAGCTCAGCTTCTCTGGACACTTGAGCAGAGGGCTGGGCCATTTTTATAGGCGCCTCCCAGCCTCTGCCCCTAGAGGTCATCATGCCTTTCCAAGTGCCTGGAGCTGACTAAATGTTTCCTTGCTGTGTGACGGGAAGAAATGGGCCAAAGAATAGCTGTTAACATTTATAACCAGGAACCTAGAAATGCCACTCTTACAGGCAGACACCAGCCTAGCTGCTCTCAAGTCATAGCCTCGGAAAGTAATTCACAAATCTCAGCAGATGGCAGGTTGCTTGTTTTTGAGACTGGGGAGACCTGTAATCTTATCTACATCCACAGTGAAGACAGACCATAGGTTCCATACATTCCAGCTTAACAGATATTAAGTGTCTGTCGTATGTTGGACATTGGGTTAACCCCTAAAAATATAGGTGACTAAGAAGACATAGGCCCCTGCCTAACGAAACCTGCTCTGCCTAGCAGAGGGGGCCAGCCTCAGAAGAGATCATTTCACAAACAGAGCCACTGGCTGGTCCTTCCTTTTTCATCCTGCCCCCTATAAGGGCTATTTCTCAGAGCCTATGAAGGAGACCAGGAATTGAAAAGCAACCTATAGGTTGAGACATAGATTAAGTAACGACTCTCCCAGAACTTAACTGTTTTGTTCATTCTGATCTGAATATTTGGCCCTTTGTGGTCAGCTTCCATTAAAGGCTAGATTCTACCTTTCCCCAGCACCACCACCGCTGACGTTTGGCTTTACTGCCCTCCTGCAGCCTCTTGAACTCATGGTGTTCTGGCTTTCACCTTTCAGATTTAGGTGCCTAACTCTATATGAAGGCATTCGAGTCCCCTGGGAATCCCTGGCATCCCTTACAGCCTAGGATTGGTCAAGAGTTAATTGGGTAAGGGAGAATTCCAAAGATAGAGCATTGCTTTGTCTCTGTCTTTTATCTGGCCTCCGGTTCAGCAGGGCAGGTTTCTGCAAGTTTCCCTATTAAGCTGCTTTCCCCCCAGCAGGTCAAAAAGCAGTCAGGGAGAGCTGGAAAACAGATTAAATTAATCGCAACATGCTGAGCCTGGCAAGGGGTGAGATTGTGTTTGGTCATTCCAGAAATAGCCCCAACTCCTCTGTTACTAAAGCAGATGATGCGGTATTTGCCTACAAGATGAATGCAAAGCACAATAGCTATAACCTTTGTGTATTCAATAAAACAATCTCCCAGCCCTTGGATCCTGTCTGTCTCTCCTGTAACCTGCCCCAGAGTTCTAATGGGGGCTGATAGCTTCTAATGTTATGGTGAAAGGGTTGATCCCGTTTGTCAGCTCTCTGGCCTATGAGCTGGTGACTATATCTGTTCATTACTGTATTTGGCATGAGGAAAGAATCTGACCTTAAGAGTTATCCCGCCTCTCAGTGTACATTAACAGGCACACATCTGAGATGTGGGAAGGAAGGGATGGAGGGGGAAGGAGAGGAGTCAGCAAAGATAGAGAGAGCCCATAAAAGGATACACAGGATCTGAGGCTGTTTGGTGATGAATATCAATGAAAAAAGCAGGAAGTGGGAGTGACCCCAGAATTCAAGGAAGAATGGATTAATTCCATAAAGGAATTATCAACTAAAGCACCTGTGCTCTCAGTCAGCAGTGTGACTGTTTCAAAGAAACAAATCAAAAATCTTACCAACCTGATCTCTTAGCCCAATCAATACACCTGATTATTATGTTATTATTGAATGGGTAGACTTTAAGAAATGCAGGCAAAGAAGACCTAGGATGATGATGAACTTGAAACCTTTCTGTATAGAAATAGGTGAAAGAGCAGAGGGAGTTTGGCCTGGAGGAGAGAAGATATTCTGGGGTCATTAGGGACATTCTTCATGACCCCAAAAGCATTTCTTGAGCATTTTCTAGTGTGCTGGCACTGCAGTGCTAGTCAATATCTCATTTAATCCTCACAGTGCCTCTATAAAGAAAGTATTATTGTCCTTGTTTTACAGCCAGTGAAACTGCGGCTCAGAGATGAGGACTTTCCCCTAAATTCACTTGAGTGATAGGGACCAGTCTCTAAGGCAGGTCTAAGCTCGTGGATTTGCCCATTACAGAAGTATGATTCGCCTTGTTCTGTGTGGATTTAAGGAACAGAGCAGGGATAAGTGGACAGAAATTAACAAAAGATAGATTTTTGCCTCATTATAAGGAAGAGCTTTTTAATTGAACTGCCCAATACGGGAACAAACTACTTCAGAGGTAGCGAGTTCCTTTATCACTAGAGGTATTTAAATAAATGCCAGAAGATCATTGAGTGGAGGGTATTACAGACAGATTCAAGCATTGGCAAGACGTTGAACTAGACTTTGTACTTTTGATTCTGTAACCTGAGTAACCAGAGAATATTTTACTGGGCTCTAGGTAGATGTAAATAGCCATCATCTAAAAATAAAATTTTAACTTACATAGTGAACTTTGCATTTTTAAAAAATTTTTTTATTATTGTTAGTTTCAGGTGTACAGAACAATGCAATAGTTACCCTTTTCACCCTCATAAAGTAACAACCCCCCTCCCACATCTACTGCCCTCCCACCCCCGATATCATGCTTACCTATTACAATTCCATTGATTCCATTCCCACTCTCTACTCCATGTCCCGTGACTATATGTATATATAATTATAGTTGACATACAATATTATTCAACATCAGCTTCAGAAATACAGTGCGGTGGTCAGGCCTCTACACCAACTATGAAATGGTCTCCCCAACAGGACATGAGTTCATCTGGCCCCCTAAGAAATATTTACAACATTATTGATTATATTCCTCCGACTGTCTTGTTCTATCCCTGAGGCCATATTGCAATTACCAATTTGTCCCTTCGCCTTCTCCTTCATCCCCACTCCCACCCAACTGACAACCCTCAGTTCTTCCTCTGGTCTCAGAGGTGAACTTTGCATTTTAACATTTATTTATTTTAAATAAAATATTACTTGTTTCTTTGAATTTTTAAAAGTTTTTAAAGCAGAGAAATTGGAATTAAGACAATGCAGATTTAAATATTTAAAATGTAAAGTCAGAGAAACTTAATTTGATTATATAACCAACTCAGTTCTAGTTATTCATGGATTGTTAAAAGAAAGTTTGGTGGGTTTTTGTTTTTGTTTTTTTCAGTTCCCAAACACCTTTACAGTTTAGAAAAATTAATTCCAACAGGGGAGCATGGACATTTTCCATCTTTGCAGAAAAGCCAAAGCTGTTAAAAAATGTTTTTCAAATGACTGTAAACTTATGGGAATTTTTTTAACTTGCTGATGTGATTGTCACAAACAAGAATTCTTTTTTTTTTGTTTATTTCATCAATCATATTTCTTGGATGACTTCTGCTCAACTCTGAAGTTGATTATAGTTGAATTATGGACATCTGAGTACTGCAGGCATGTGTCATAACCAACTCTTTCTCATCAAAAAATATTTATTGTGGTTTATTGAGCATTAGTGCAACTGGTAAGAAAATGCACCAGTTATAAACCTTTCCTAAAATGCGTTTATTTTTATTTCCCCATGATGCATTATTAGACACTATGAATTCCTGTTCCATGGTGGGATTTAGTTGGGTTTGTTTTGTTTTCTTGTATTTTTCTCCATGGTGAGAGTTTGGAGCTTTAACATGAAATAAGAGCATCTTCGTGTAAAGTTTTATGCAAAAATTACTTAACTAATAAATTTACTGAAATTGTTTGAAAAGTATGTTAACAGACAGACAAACATACTGGGTTATACTTAATATTCATAGGTTTGTTGCAATAAAGAAATGGCTTTTTCTTTTTTTTTCTTTTTTTTTTTCTTTTTTCTTTTTTTAGGAAGTTCTGCGTTAACAACCTCAGCTCACTGGGCAGTTAGTTGGTGGTGGTAGAGAATGACCCTGAGAAGTGGAAGGTGGGAAGAGAGTTGCAGAAGTGAGCTGATGAAGTCTTGCACACTCTAAAACTCATGAGGGCAACGCATGAGAGGTGCTGTTTGAAGTGGAGGCCCATTGTGTGGTTCTGTGCAGACACCTCTCCCACTTTTTGGAGCACTCTGTTAGGTCTTTCAGGAGAAGGTTGGGGTCCACAGAGAAGGAGAACTTAGGAGAGGTTGTCCACAGAGGGATGGAGGGAAGGAGTCTAAGGTTGACTGAGGATCGGATTGGATATGGAGCTGAGAACTGGACAAAAAGCTTGATTGAGAGCACAGGACCAGCAGAAACAGCATAGAAAACCTCAACTCTGCCTAGCGGTTTCCTTGATGGAAAAACAGAACACATGTGTGTCTTAACGCAGTGACCCCCAATAACCAGTCTCTGAATAGTCAGGTCTGTGTTACTGTGTTTACTTGGGGCTTGGCCCCCAAATTCCATTTGTATTGATATCTTGAGATCAGTACTTTGACATTTCATAAGACACTTAAAATCTAACCCTTTTCCAAGGAACATCACAGAAGGTTCATTTAACCTCTCTTCCCCCAAACCCCAAGCCCTCTACCTAGTTCAGCCTTCCATCCTGGTTTTAGATATCACCTTGAATACATTTTCTCCCTTGAACTGAATTTACCTTATTTGTCCATATCAATATTGACCAAAGTCTTAATTCCTCAGAGGCAGAATTCTTATCTGTTTAACCTGGTTGAAATGTTCTTAGCACAGTTAGGAAATGAAGAAACACTGCCAGCTGATTAGCTGTGTTGTTGCACAACTGATTATAGTCACACCTGGTGGCCATTATAGCCACTGCACTACTGATAAATAGGTCATTGAGGGAGGGGACTGCTTGGTTTGCATTGTCTTTTGGCTTCCTGGAAAATGCCAGGCGTATGTTGAGTCCCTGCTCTCCTCCTCCTGGCCTGGACCTGGTTCTGATCTCCCCTGCTTTTGTCTCCCACTTTCCCTTGTACAGAGACAGGGCAGGGCATTGTTCATGCACTGACCGACCTCAGCAGCCCCGGCATGACCTCAGGGAACGGAAATTCTGCCTCCAGCATCACCGGCACTGCCCCCCAGAATGGTGAGAATAAACCACCACAGGCCATTGTGAAACCCCAAATCCTGACGCATGTTATCGAAGGGTTTGTGATCCAGGAGGGGGCGGAGCCTTTCCCGGTACGGACTACTTCTTTTCCCCTCTTTTTTCTTTCTTTTCTTTTTTTTTTTTTAAGTATATTTTGGATGTGTACTAGAATATTTTTACGTTTCCATGTAAAATTTCCAAAAATGTAAAAAAATTGTTCTTTCCTTGCTAATATTCCCCCAAAGGAATGTCAGAGCCATTTTCTTTCTAGGATTGAGTATCTTCCTAAGGTCCAGAAGGAGTCAGTGATTAGGAATAATCAAGACCCCTTGATTAGAAGTTTGCACACACAGACTTAGCGGTGTACCTCCTGGTGATGTGTGACCGCCTTGCTTAGAAGGCAGTTCACCTTGGAGTGTTGGTGGACCAGGGAAATGGGACCCTGTTCAGTTTGGAATACCAAAACGTCTGAATGGCAAAGCTTTGGCCAGTTAAAGAACAAAAGGAACCTCTGTAGAAGAGAATTTTCAAGATATATCTGAAATGAAGAGAACAGGGTTGTAGCCTGAAGCTTCTTTCCTGGGGAGTAAATGAGAACAAGGGGCACTTGAGAGAGTACAACCAAGTGTCCCCAATTAAAGCATAAGACCAAAGGGCAATATAAATGAATCAAGAAAATGGCTTATTAGAACAGAGCAGCCAGAGCTGCTGCTGCTCATCACAGCTTGGTGAGGACAGGTGGTACTGCTCTATAGGTGGGAGGAGCCCTGAGCCAGGTGCACACTAGCCCCTCGTGTGATAAAATGATCGGGCTTTTAGAGGTACACTATCTTCAGAGGATGCCATCTGCCTTTTGCCCATTCTTTGGTTCCATGAGTGGTTTGAATAATCAAAGCTTGATTAACTGAGAGGGGTGACCTGCCCTTGTAAAATGTCCTCTTTCCCTCTGGAGGTTGTTCAAGGCCTGTGGCAAAGAAATTCACCTGGAGCCACCTTAGCTATAAGCAGCTCTAGCCCTGTCACGTCCCTTCCCTCATTAGGCTAGGCCCTGCCCTTGGCCTCCTGAAGAAACACTGGAAACCAGCTGAGCTCCCAGGGCAGATGCAGATTCAAAAGGACCCCCAGCATCGCTCTAGAGTTGTGGCCAGCAGGCTGCCTGAACAAAGGCAACAAAGGGAGGACCATCAGAGTGAATTAGCCAGTCTGGGGTCCTGGCAACCACAGAGGGCGTTTGCTCTGCAGTCCAGAGCCCATGTTTTCCTCTTCTCCATGGCTGCCTGTACCTATGGCTTGGGTAGATTAGTAGTAAGGTAGAGAACAGTAAGAAATAAAAAAATGGTTGCTAAGTCTCTCTGTCTCATACATAAATTCACACACAGCCTCAGCTGTATTCCTGCTTGGTGTCGTGTGAGCAGTGGGTCCTGGCACCTGTTCTGGCAATGCAGGAAACCTGATCTCTGCCTCCATCTCTGCCCCTTAGACACTGGGGAGAGTAGATATTTTCCTAACTCCTCAGCTGTCTATTGGTCCTGGATTGAAGCCATCCCTGTACTTCGGTGTCCGTTGGCGTCTTGCCTCATGAGCTAAACAGAGTAGGCCTTGAGCAGGGGATGATGATACAGGGGCTGGCATCTGTACCTGGACGCTTTATACATGTAATTTTGATAAGGCTGGATAGCAAGGAAGCATCTCCCACCTAATCCTCATGTACTCCATGTCCCCTGTCCTCTAGGTGGGACGCTCGTCCCTGCTGGTGGGGAATCTCAAGAAGAAGTATGCACAGGGGTTCTTGCCTGAGAAACTTCCACAGCAAGACCATACCACCACAACTGACTCTGAGATGGAGGAGCCCTATCTGCAAGGTAGGCATCTCAGACCCCGAATGCTAAGGCCTTCTGATTTGGCCAAGCAGGAAGTCGGCAAGGCTGGAAAGGGAGGCCTTCCACACTTCCTTTCTTGGTATCCATGAAGGAACTCTGAGCCAGGGAGTGTGTAAACATGTCAGCCTACTAAACATTTCCCCCAGTGCCTTCTCGGCCCCTATCCCTAGGAAACAGGAGATGTCCCTGCCTCTCCTCCAGGCCCGCTCCAGCCAGCCACAGGATTCCTAGAGTTGCTTTTCCTCTGTGAGTCATTGGCAAGCTGTAGGAGTGTAGGGGTGGCACGAGGCAGGTTGTGCCCTTCCTTCACTGCCCCAGGAGCCCGCACACGACTGGAGCCAGCTCTATGGCACAGTGGCAGCCAGGCGCACACTGCACTTGCCACATGAGCCACTGACTAAATGGGGGGAAGAGGCCTATGTAAGTTACCAAACTCCTCGGTTCTGTTATCCAAGTCAGCAGCTAACTAAACAGATCAAGGTAAGGGAGGAGAATTCCAGATCAGTTGTGACGGCATCCAGTGTTCCCTCTGAGTCTCCTGCTCTCTTCCAGGATCATGAGGGGTGCTGATTCTTTCCCCATATGTGTTTGCCTCTGGCTCATAGCACTTAAGAGAAAAAACAGTCAGCGTCGCAGGGGCATCACCAGACACCTTTGGGCACTTTCCAGGGAGGGAAATAGCCCTTCCAAAAACAGTGCCGAAGGAGGTTCGGCATTTTCCAAGCTAGACTGCTGCTGCGTGTCACAGCTATGGGAACATGAGGAGGCAGAAGAGAGTAGGGGGCCCCCATGGTGGGGCTGTCAGCAGTCCTCTGGGAATTGCTCATTCTCCACACTTAACTAATTTCCATACTTTTCAGAATCCAAAGAGGAGGGTACTCCCCTCAAACTCAAGTGTGAGCTCTGTGGCCGGGTGGACTTTGCCTACAAGTTCAAGCGTTCAAAGCGCTTCTGTTCCATGGCTTGTGCAAAAAGGTGAGTGGCCTCAGCCCGCTTCTATGCCCAGCCTCTTCCCTTCCCCCAGGATTGCACCCCTGTATCCTGCTCCTGTCCCTCCCCTGCTGCAGCCCTAGTCCACCGAAGAAAGGCCTTATGTGTGGCTTATCCAGGCTTGTCCTTGACCTGCCTGGAAGCAGCGTCACGATGCTTAATTCACCAAAGAATTCCTAGAGCAGATCAGATGGAAAGCAGCACAGAATCAAGGAAAGGAGACAGGGCTTCAGCTTGACTGGCCCTCTGGGTCCCACTGGCACCTGTCCTCCTTTCCTGCCCAACTCTTTAGGGTAAGCCCTGCACCAGGAGCTTTGCCCAGAGCACTGCACTAGTTACAGATGTTCCTTCCGTGAGCTTTCACCCAGCTTGATGACGGATGATCATAGTAAAAACCACTGTTATTTATGGAGAGCCTGCCATGTGAGAGGCAGTTTGCTAGACAGTCGATGTGCATTATGTCATGTAATCTTCAGAATAACTCTGAGGTGGGTATTGCTGTTGTGCCCTTCATAAACATTCAGGAGCGGGCCGGCCGAGTGGCGCGATGGTTAAGAACTGGCTTGGGACGCCAGAGGGCCCCGGTTCGGATCCCACATATGAGGGCCAGTGACACTGCCCTCCA